GCATGCCTACACATAAGACCTTGAGTTCATCTCTAGCAGCAAAAAGAGACTTGTTGACTTGAACAGCTGGTCAAATATGGTATTATTTGCTGAATAAGAAGAAACTGAAAGGGAAATAATGGAGGGGCAGAAATTTTTTAGGATTCATTTAAATTTCATGTATTTATTTTTTGTTTGTATGAATTGCTTCTCTGCCCTAGAGATCAGAAGAGTACATCAGCTCCCCCTTCAGCTGGAGTTATAGATAGTTATGAGCTTGTTGATGTGAGTACTCAGAAACAAACTTGGGTCCTCTGTAAGATAAGTGAACTCTCTTAAGTGCTGAGCCATCTCTCCAGGCTAGAGAACAATTTTTGTTTAAAGAATTCTGTTTTGAGTTTGTTCAGTTTATTGCTTTAATTAAAAGTGGTTGTGTGTAATATGCCATGGGTTATGAGTCTGGAGACCATAGTTAGAGTAGAGCATGCAATTTTGGAAAATGGTATGAAATATAGTGGAAGTGAATACTAACATATGTAGAACTATATAATAAATAAAAGTCTGCTTGCCATTAAAGCTTGTGGAATACAAGCAATTCAAGCAGTCTCCAATATTAATTTTATGGACAAAGTATATGTACTGTATATAAAATGAAGACTGAAAGGAAATGTAATATATTTTCAATATAATAATATAAACAAGAGAGAAAAGAGACTATATATGTTGGTGGAAGACAAAAGAAGTGATGTGAAAATCAACCTAAAAGTCAAGTTGTACAAAAGACTTAATACACCTATGTAAAAACTGGCTCAATTTAAGAAACATGTTTGAACTAAAACATATTTGTAACATGTACTCAGTGTCACTGAATTGTACACTGAAATGTTTAAAATATGAATTTTATATGACTTCCAAAACTGAGCAATAAGAGAGAGAGATGTATGTTATGGGTACAGTATATAAAAATCATATTATTTTTATGTTGTCTAATAGTTTAAAAATCCATTAGAGTGTAAAAGATTATAGATGAAACAAGTTATTTAAAACATGAACAATTCCTTTTTTTGGCTGTTTTTGTTTTATTAAGACAGGGTCTCACTATGTGGCTCTAGCTGTCCGGGAACTCATGTTGTAGACCTGGGTGGCCTCAAACTTGCAGAGATCCATCTGCTTCTGCCTCCCAAGTACTAGGATTAAAGGTGTCGCCACTACACCGAGCATTAAAACATGAACAGAGGTAAGCAGATCTCTGTGAATTTGAGGCCAGCCCAGTCTACAGAGTGAGTTCTAAGATAGCCAGAGCTACACAGAGAACCGTAGTCTACACAAAACCAGTAAACAAACAAATAAATGGATAAATGAAATAAATCATTAACAATTTTTGGAGCTGGTTGATGAGTAGATGAAGTTTCACTAAAATATTCTCTAAACTTTTGTGTGCTTGAAAAATTCCATGAAAAACAATTCTTATAATCATTTAAAAATATAATAATTTGGAGCACTTTGTAAAGTTGAATTGACTGTTACATAGTAAAGACTCTAGTAGCTCAGAGTGTTAAAGGCAAGTTAGGAAATGGTGAAGAGGTCTGAATGTGAAGTAGGTCATGCCAAGAGCTGCCTCCCTCTCTCTACTCTGCTTTTTGGGGAGTACAGTCCTTGGCCCAGCAACTTTATTTCTTGCAATGTATTCCCAGGAATTAGTTACACACACAAACCTGTTTGTGGATAAGCTGCTCTTCTTAATGGACTTACCATAGTAAATCATTGGAAACAAGAAACTGATCAGTTTTATGGTTGCTCTTTTAATTATAGTGCTGGGCCAGTGAGATGGTTCATCAGGTAAAGGCACTTGTTTAATGGCATGAGTTCAATCCCCACGACCCACCCACATGGTAGAAAGACAAACCCAACTCACCTAAGCTATGCTTTGACCCACATGCAAGCTGTGGTTGAATGTGTGCATACACATTGTCAAAACAAAACAAAACAAAACAAAACAAAAATACATAAACAGCTTTGTTTTGTTACCCTAAGACTCCATGAAAATACTTCTACATTAGAACCTGGATTTGAGAACACATAATCCCTGTTTCAAGGTCATCGTCATTGAGATTTGGCTTCAAATAAGCTATCTATTTCTGTTTGAGTTAAGAATTGTATTTTTTTTCTAAACACCACACACACACACACACACACACACACACACACACACACACACACACAC